TTGTCAAAGAGCTGTAAACACTTGGACTCGGATTAGGAGTTCGGATTGGTAGGGCACAATGCTCCCCCCCAATGTGATGTTAGAAATGAACGTCGCAAGTATTTCTGAGAGAGAGAGAGAGGGGACCACATCGGGCCAAATTCATTTCAAACGCTATCCCAGAACGACATCTCCCCGAGTCGGAGTTATACCAAAAAAACAAGTACATCATCCGTTCGTTCGCCTCTTAACAAGTGGACTCTCAGAGATGGAATTGGGATGAGGGAGGATCCAGTGTGGAATCCTTGTTTGATTCTTTAGAGGCCCTATCCATCCCGGTGAAAAAATGATGGCCTCCATCCCAGCTCAAATCCATTAGACACTCGAGCTCAAAGCTCACACCCAAACACCAGGTAGATGGATCCTTAATTACCCAATTCAAATCCATTCCAGCTTTACTCCGCCCTTCTTTGGCACCAATCGCCCACAATGTCTTTGGCGCAATGCCTTGCACTTTCGAGCCACGTCTTGACGTTCGTCTGCAGAAGGCTCACTTTCAGAACCTCTGCCTTAAGCGAAACGGAAGACACCAGGGTCATAGGAACCAAATGAAAAATAAACTATACCAACCGCCTGAGCCACGCAAAATATATGATGAGATATGAATCGGATTCATTACAATACTAACATATAGTTATATGAAGTTGTCATAAAGCCTGGGTTAACCAAACCTAATCCTGTAAATCATAATGAAACTGATTGAAACTGACTTCCATCGTCTTCTTCTTCTTCTTAACCATTTTTGTTTGCAGGACATTTACACAAAGTCCATCATTTCAGCCCTTCTTCTTGTTCATCGTCTTTACTGTTTACACGACCTTTTTGGGGAAGGACCCCTCTCTCAAAACCACCACTAACACCCCAGGTAGAGCCCCAAAACCTGATTTTCCGGTCCGAAATCAAGCCGTCTCGGCCTCGCCGTCCGTGGCTTCGAGGTCAAAGCCTGCCTCCATGGCGTCGGGGGAAGGTGCACCGACCGGGGTTGGTCTTGGGAATGCATTCCATGTTCCCCGAAGCGCTGACTAGCACCAGCTCTGGAACAATTTGACTCTGTCGTGTTAAAACACAAAGAAAACAACGCATACCTCGACACACCTTAAGGGTAAAAAATCCGTGTGGTCAGGTTTCAATTGTATACGTTCCACCAAGTCCTGCGTTTGGTTGACCTTCGACGCTCGCGGGGCCTCGGCGCACTGCTCCTCGGCGCAAGGAAAACGACCGGAACCCAGCAGGACACCACTGGTCAGGAGTGTTGCCTTTAAGGGGCCACTACAAGCATGTATATACAGGAGCCATGTTGCGAATTTCAGCATGTTCATTTAAGGGTTACCTTCGCTTCAGATGGATTGTCAACGTGTTCGTGTTCAGGTTCCCACGGTTCCGTGCGTGTGTGACGGTCGCTGTCGGACCGTCCCTTTCGGATGGTCCGTATGGATACCCAAAAGCAATCACCATGGACTGGAAGAGTTGCACACCGTTCACGCCATGTTTGAGCCATTACTTACACATTGCAAGTAAACTATACATAACCATTCCATACATGGAAGGTGTCTCCAAGTCTCGTACCGCTTATGTATTGATTTCAAGTCTAGTTTATATTTTTGTTCAGGCATCCGAAGGCATAGGTTGAACATTTCCCTGCCCAGATTTGTTCCATCAGCTTTTTGAACAAAAGGAAACGTTGTGAGCCACCAAGGCACTCGTCAGTCAGGATTTATCATGATTTGCCCCAATTTGGCATACTAGATTCGGATTCAATTATAAAATATATACGTATAGATGTTGAGGCTTTGCAGGTCAGACACTGCAATTCTCTGGCTGCTGCAATTTCACGCGCTGCTTCAGGAGGGTGTACCCAGGTGTGCCCAACTGATCGAACAAACAACCCGAGCATTCAATCCAAGACTCGTCAGCACAGCCTGCAGCAAAGCCCAAAAGGATGGAACCTGGTCGCCAAAACATGAAACAAACGTGAACTAAACCGCCGAACCTGAATGACTTCACACTGCGAGACTGATTTGACAAGTGATCAGTTTTCTTGGCAGTCGGACCCCTCGCGAAGTTTCACGAACAGCAGCATGCTGCAGGAATGATCGTTCGGTACATACATTTTTGGTATTTTTTGGTAGCAATGCTCAGTTTGCGGAATCTTCTTCCAAAGGGTTTCTTCATCGTTTAGAGTCGCCAAGATGAAAAATAACGCATCCACACTGCCACCAAAGTGCCAATGGCCCGTCGGATCATCGATTCCAAGGTCTGTGTTGACCTCGGGAAAGTTGAGGTCAGGAACCGTGAATGAAAGTTAGAAGTGCGTGCATGTCAGATGACGCCAAATGAGCTCAGCAAATGTGTCGATCTGAGACAAGCTGGCTGACAAAAACAAGGTTTGATACGGTTGCGAAAGTTGACAGCAATGCCAACCCAGTCGATTCGAATCTCGAAAGGACAAGGTCAGACAAGTGGAGTGTGAGTGAAGTGTTTGGAGGAACACAGAGCAACACTAGAGCAGCCTGGGCAATCTGAAGCTGACGGTTGAAGTTAACATGGAGTATCAAGGAGCCAACCAAAATAGAGTGTATGATGATGAGTTGATGTGACGACTCTGACGCGCGCCCACGTGAAAAGATAAAGCAGCGCGGGGGGCCAAAGTGATGGCAAATGAAATGACCAAGCCAGGAAGTGATTAAGTGACGCACACTTCCCCGAAGTGGCTGTGACATGCCGCCGCGCGGTGTGCCTACCCTTGAGCTCAGCCAGTGTATGTTGAGATCACATGCTGCAAATATGCAAAGCGCGCCCTGCACAAGCAATGTGGGAAGCAAGAGGTACAAGACGATTCCAGCAGCCAATCATACCATATTCAATCTCATCCTGGCTGCGGCAATATATGGAAACAATATGCACATCATTGGTTGTAGAAATGCCATTAATTGTAGAATCTATTAAATATGGGAGGCTCCAACACTGGTTCCAACATATTCCCTCACACGTGTGAGTATCTCAAGCTCCTCGGCATGAGATTTGTTGAGGCACTCAGCAACACAGCTCCTTATTCATACAAATGTCTTTTCCAAGAAGAGCCAGTCAGCTCAAATTAGGAGATTGCAAAGCAACTGTGACAATTGGAAGCACATGGTTTCTTGAGAAGAAGGTGTTGGAATGTGTTGGATGATGTCAGACGATCGGACGGGTCAGGCCAGGCTGGACGGCTACGATCAACATCTCGGGCCTCGCAAATGCCGGACAAAATTGACAGCTCTCTCAGACCATGTAGGGAAATTAATAGTTATACAGTATAGTTACATACATTTATATAGATACAATAATTTACTCCATGCAAATGACCCGAAAGGAAAAATTCCGGATCATCTTCACCCGAAAAAAATCCACCACCCCCATGAGGTAGTAGCTCCATCTCTTGGTGCATGAGTATCCAGCCGAAGAGTATCCAGCTGAGATGCCCCCATGTTTTGTTTGTTTTCTTATTTTAAGACTTCCTGGTGAGCATCTATTCCCAGCAGTCATGGTGCAACTAGATCGCTCCATTTGGCTGGAAAAAACACACACTTTTTTACCCCACCTGGGAGTTATGTATAATCCATTATAATCCACCATAGGTAAAATGAGTCATGACTGGACTCTCCAGGGACACACAAACACACACACACATGCTCCGGTACCCCAAAGGTCTCGCTCGTAGACTGGGCCTGGGCCTTTTCAGCGCCGGGAAGACTGATGTTTGGCAAACAGCCAGTTCGGTGGGAATGGGCTCCTGTCCCATGTCCTGAGAAGGTGGTTAGACGGTTAGACCCCCCTGGCACCCACCCCAACCACCTTCTCAGGAGATGGTTGGAGCCTCAGGGTAATTCGCACTCTGAAGTTCCACAGGTTTCGCACACATCATGTAGAGCATGAGCTGCATCCACCACCAAAGAATGGGGAGAAAGCCCCAAAACACCGACTGCTCCGTGAGTGGCGCCAAGCCGTTGAAACCAACCACCGGAGCTGAGGCCTTCGGACGAGCTGAGCCGGTCCCGGCTGAGCTTATGTACAACGGACGCTGGTCTTGGCGTCAGCGGAAGCTGGTCTTTCTCCGCTGGGCTGGACAGAGCCAAAGGGCATCCGGATCAACGGACTGCTTTGGACATGATCATAATGGATTGACTAGTGACTAGTGTTGGTTGCTACCCTAGTAGCTTCTTGTTCGTAGTAAAGGCCAGGAGCCCCGTTCGTAGCGTCCTTGCTCCTAGTAGCGATGCCAGGAGCCCCTAGTAGCTTCTTGTTAGGTATTTCCTAGTATAAGAACACACCTTTCAGAGTGGGAGTTGCACCATCTGTGAAGAGTCCCCAACAGTCAGTGCCATGGACAGCACCTCAACAGTCCGTATCCCACCGGATCCATGGGACAGCAAAGATGGTCGACATTTGGTGGTTTTTCGTGGTGAATGGATGTTGTGGTCATATTTGCCGTCCCATGGATGGTATGGGCATGGGATATATCGGATATCTCAATGGATTTGTGAATGAAACTACCGGGTAAATCTACAGGGTGTTCACCCCCCCAAATGACGGGGATTCCTGTATATAATTGATGCTCTCTGAATCAATTAATACAACAGGCCTCAAGGCCTCAAGAGGTTTTACAATCATGAAGAGATTTGATGAATCAAGACTCTGCATGACTCTGCAACAATAACTCCGATCGTGAGCTCCGATCGGTTTGATCGATTTGATCAGTTTGTGCTGGAAGCTGTATCTTATGGATGTGTATCACAGGCAGAAGCTGTTGAACTTCAAAACGCATCTGAAAGTGAACCCTCGGAAAAAAAATAAACAACTGCCTGCACCACAGGAGACCACTCCTATGAAAATCCCTGGAGACCGGGAGCTGGTTCCGCCAGGATCCTTTGTTCGTCACCCCAACCCCAAGGTCTGGACACATCCCACGTCCACGTCCGGTCCTCCAAAAGGAGCTCTTCCAACATCTGGCTGGCGCACGGATCGGTTGGACGAAAAGGAGCTCACCAACGGTCTCGGTTTTTGGAGAATGTAGGACCGTCGAGGCATAGGAAGAAAACCAAACACACATAATTGAGAAACATGCGAGTGTTTGAGTCTATGATAGTCTATGGCATCCAACCCTTTTCCAATAACATCGATCAATCATCGATTGCTTCCATCGGACGCTTCGGGAGACGGCAAACAGCGTCGACCGTCGTGCGCTTCATCCACAACCGTTTTGCAGCTGCTTGGCACGTCGCGTCGCACCACTCTGTTGAGGTGGGTCCGGTCACCCGGTCACCCGCGCCAGTGACGTCCGAAGCGGTCGCTGCTGACTCTTCTTATGTCAAATGCTTGCATGGTTGGTTTCTAAGACTCTACCGTATTGGTATCAATATCAGTATGACTGTAGGTGGTTCTACCCCAAATAGTCTCAAGATAGAGAGAGAGAGAAACCAAAGCCTTGTCACGGCGGCAACCCATGCTACCTCCAATCTCTTTCACATCTGCATACGTCGTGACAGACTCTGACCATCATATGGCACATCTCTCACGGCTCTGACCCAAAGCCATATATGTCCAGGTTCTTTAGACAACATATGAGAAACCATATGAAATAATAACATTTGTCCTTAGTGAAACAATAGTTCTTCGGTCAAATCTGGTAAAGCCCCCATTAAAAGCACATGGTGGGCCAGAAATCCTGGTGTTTTACATCCATGAATCCATGAACAGTGGCAACCACAGTAGAGCTCCAGTAGATGGTCTCACCGAAGACCCCCTTGGCTCTCGCCTTCGATCTCAGCTCCTCGTAGGCCCAGCGCCTCGAGTGGAAATCGAAGCCACAAGCCACTGGAACCAGGCGTGTCCCAAGAGGGCTCAAACAAACATATATAGTGGTTTCAGAGTAGATCAGATGGTCCATATATAAACCACCTTTTGGGGATTGTGCCATCCACTCTGAAACCACTGCAGTAACAGAACACAAGGCTGAAACAAACTGGCTGTTGAGATATGTTGGGTGAGTCAGGACTGAGTGCTTGCGACCATCAGCGCCCATAGTTGCAGATTTCTGTGATTTAAAGTTGGAGACCATCAAAAACTCCCCTGAACCAATTAAGTCTGTTTGGGAAAGACATATAGCCACTCTACTAGCTACTATTAGCCATGCGATTCCGGGCAGCCATCACCAAACCAAGTACTACCTCCACGTGTTAAGTTAACTTGAAACCTAGGAGAATGAAGATCTCAAACAAGTGTACATTGATCTTCCAAAAGTCGTTATTTAATGTTCAGGGGTTTTCTACCACGCTTATTTAGGAAGGACTATTGTCGTTAATTTTAGAGGTTTTCGTTGGAAGATGTCCAATGAGGATGCCTAATGGTGGACACGCACTGGAGATGGATCTCAACCAAGCAAAGAGAACTCTCTATTGTTACCAGAACAGTGGTGGCAAAAACTCTTCAGCTGTTGGTGTGGCTGAACTCTGCCCATACTCTGGGGCATGTGCTTTTTTGAGGCACCTGCCCAGGATGTCGAAGGCTTACTTGGAGATCGTGAAATTTCAGCACTGAAATCGAACAGCAACTCAGCGGTGAGCATCAATGAAGATTCTGATCTGAAAGCGCTGAGAAAACACACTGTCCTATCAAAGAGTCACCAAAACAACATTGAAAAACACAAAAAACATCAAACAAACATCACGGTATTGGGGTCTCCCCAACTGTTTGGCCAACCGCCTCAAGTCCAACCTGTTTTTTTTCCGCCTCAAGTCCAACATGATCACCACAAATCGGGCCTCTCTCTGAGAGTTTGCTCGTCTTCCACCGTCCTTGTGCGGAAGCGGCAGGTGAGCAGTGAGTGAGTCTATGACGAAGGCCGATTTCGATGTGAAAAAGCATTGCAATCGATCCAGACTTGATGCTTGGTGATGGTTGGAAGGACTCCGATATGATGGTTTTTTCGTGACATGAAGTTTGGATGGATTCATGATACGACCCATGGTTTGATGATGCTTGATGGATCCACTCAGACCCCTTGATCCACTCGGAATTCTTAGACTCTTTCAGATTTCTTTCGGCTCTGGCGCAAACATCGTAGACTCCTGAGCAACTTCGTCCACGAACATCACCAACTCACATCGAACGGACATGAACAGACTGTATTCGTCGCCGGAAGACGTTTTGGAATCTTTCCACATGCAAAGACTGTCCGACACAAATAACAAGTTGTATGAAGTCATGAAGCCAAGAGCGAAACGCAGCACCTTCCTTCCAAGGGGACACCAATGGAATAACCCACACTACTTCCACAACTTGTGGGTCTCTATTGAACAACCCCTTTTTTCAGGCGCAGGCAAAGGCACATTGTGATGACGCACCAGAGTTCTCTCTCACCATGCATCTCTTGTGCCAAAGCTTCTTTTGGGGGGGATGACAAACCTCCACTGGACCTCGCTTCTGGGTCGTGTCCCTGGGTCACAAGAAGTATACATGCAAGCCACTACGTTGGGAATCCCGATCCATGATTTTTCCATAAATGAAGAATGTTGGGTTCTGACTCCAAAAGAAAAAAACCGTTCAACACCTGGTCCTATTGAAAGCGGCCCGGACCGAAATCTCCTGGTCGGTCCGAGCATGGCGCGCCAAACACCCGGTCGCTGCTCGGCAGGACCTGTGAGCAGCGGCTAAAGGCTGACTACAAAGCGGCTCGGCCGGGACCCTGGTAGCTAGGGTATTGACCCGGATCGATACAAAGGACAGTTCACAGGCTTATGTTGACGGTACTCTACTGGAATGGGTCTCTGAAAAATCTTCTGGATTTGGGGACTGAACATTACCAAGTATATAATCCTTGGGTAATCCTGCCTTCCTAACAAGAACACTCCCAGTTCCTATACGTAAAGCCTATGAAATACAGTAATGAGTTGGTTAGACCTCTCTGCCAGGCGACAGCCATGTCGGAAGCTCACGGCTGCGAGGATGTCCGTGTCTTTGGCCTTGAAGCCAAGGTGGGCACGGCATAAAGGAAGGTCTCTTCGGACTTCATGACATAAAGGTGCTGAGCGCAACGATGGTGGAAAAGGTGGTGACAAACATGTATTTCTGAAGAGGTTGCTCACTTGACGCGCTCAAATTGTCCAGATTGCTTCACATCCAAGAAGACGAGTGTAGACATCTCTTGCTCGAATGCTTGTCGCTAAACCCAATTTCACCTCTTACTCATACTCTTCCACCACTTCATCTCCAATAGGACACCCAACCACAAAAAGGAACAACTGCATGACGGACCCCACTTTGAGGAAAGCAAGCATCCACATCCGACGCATCGATTGAAGCGTGATGCGAGGGATGACCAAGAATAGGTATTCGAGTGATTAGCAAGCAGGAGTGCAATCCTGGCTGAAGCCATGCGGCAAGGGGGGCAATGAACTGGTGGGGTATGTTGTAGTAGTTGTTGTAGTATATGGGTTGTGCACTGTGCACTCCAAGAAACAGCCAACCTGTCGGGACTGTCCACCCAAATACCAAGCCGTCTGTCAAAGTACCGGCCTGAAGGGTCGGCGGATCTGTAGGGGCAAGGTGATCACATCTAATCCTACGCAATCCATGAAGAATGGATCGGTGATACAAGTCACAACACACCCGTAACCTTCAGTAATTCTCTCTAGTTATTCGCTTATCGGTTTCCAATAGGGCATTCAGCCCGGCCAAACAATAAGTAAAAACTCGATGTCTTTCTGGCAAGGCACTTGCATTGCTGATCTCAGCGCAGATTCTACACTCGCCTGGCACAGCAGTGGGGGCCCTCTTATGCAAAAGGTGCGAAATCCAACAAATGACTAGAAAGCCAATAAAGAATGGACCTCGGAACCAAAGCTTCCACAGAACTTTAAAACAATATGTCAGAGAGTTGACAGGATAAGCGGTTGCCCTGGCCAAAGCGTGCAAGATCAAGTACTGTAACGTAGCTTGCCTGACGCTACGAGTACAGTCTAACCACACTAACAATTAACACTAAAGTCATAGTATAGTAACTATGTCAAAATATGTCAAACAAGTTCATGTCAATCAGTAGTGATCCGTATGGCAGTGGGACATACTCAATCAACGTGACCCTTTTGAGAGACACGAAAGGACAAATTCTGACACCTCCCACGTCGAAAGATCGAGTCTTGTTGCTAATCGCTAATCACAAAGCAATACAAAATCATGAAAAGAAACATCACTAACTAACACCCATCTACGAAAAACAACAAATCAATCATTGCTTCTCATTTACCCACTCTCCCGCACTCTTCCTGCCTCCTCCGGCTCCTCACCCAAGTGCATGAGCACTTCCTGCCTTGGCTGTGGACTGTTGCTACACGAAGCCAAAACTAGATTCAGCCTGCCTCCCACGTGAGGTGGATCAGGTTTCAAGAGTTGAGCTTTGAACTTCATATTGTGCCTAGTGGCTTAGGGGCAAATAAAGGGTCACTGTCACGAGCGATCCTGCTCCACTGGGACATATCCAATCGTTCATATCTTACATGCTCAACACCAAACCAACACAAATCCATGTTTTACATAATTCATGAACACACGAACTGGGAGTGAAGAATTGTGTTGGTTTCCTGCGAGAGCGCACAACTCCTCAATCCCTTTGTGGCATGGCGCACACTCGCTGGCACTGCTACGCCGCTGGCGAACTGCACCTGACGCGTTTCCCGGTTTTGTGTAGTGGGCATTGAGGGACCCTGGGAGAGTGGATGTCTTGGTGAATGGTGGGACTAACCCTGAGAGTCCAAAAAAAACCATGTTACCCCTAAGACTAGTGTTAGATGTCAGATTATGACTCCCAGGCGGGGTAGTTCATGAGTCATTCGAAGTAAGGAAGAGGGCCGCCCCTGCGTGACCAAGCGTCGGACATGAATCTGAAATCACCGCAGCTGCGTGGGCCCTCTGTGTGTTTTGGTAAAACCAAATCCAGTGTGGTCCCAACAGTTTACGCAAAATGACAACACTGCAGGTATACTGTATACTTGTAAAGCGTCCTCATAAGTTGGAAGCAATTATATCTTCTGATTATCTTCTGCTTTGGATTTGGGGTCTGGTGTGTGGTGAATCTAGGTGTACACTCCGGTTAAGCCAACAAGTTTTTGTTTGGTCATTGACATTAAAATACACTAACATGTACGCATGGTTTGGTTGGCTCAAAGAATATGGATCACAGTGTTGGGTGTGGGGATAGGAGCAAAGATGTCGAGCTTCGAGTCCCTATTGCATGCTCCACGCCTCCTGAAAGCTCCACAGTTACTGTCTCGGTGAGGCAAAAGAAATCCCAGCTTGGACTTACGCACGATAGAATCAATGCTCCATGGACATTGTCATCCTTTAGCCAATCTGTCCCAACAGTTTCCCACTGTGGTCCTCCAGGTCTTGAACAAGTCCAGGTCTTGCAACCACCAATCCCCCCTCCCGTGTCCATTGCCGGATGCTTTCTGCTTCCCACAGGTGCCGCGCGTCCCGCTAGCCCACAATTGACTTGACCAACAGAGGCCGCACCGCCGCGTGCGGGTCCAAGGTGTTTGCCAGCCACCTGGGCCGTCTATCAAAGCGATGTACTCCTGGGACGTGTTCAACGCCAAAACGGGTTTTAGCACCGAAGAATTAAGGTCTTGTGGGTCACGGCGAGGCCAAAAAAGTATCACACTGAGGTCTTTCCAAACAATGCTTTTAGATATTGAGCTTAAATGACCTAGTTTTCGTTGCCACAATTTGCAGAACAAATGGCTGTTCATAGTGTAAAGGACCTTGTTTGATTGTTACAAACGCCTGATCGCCTGGCATCTGACACTTGAGAGTGGCAGCGAACGGAAGCAGCACTGTTTTAGCACGGTATAGTCCAGCGCTTCCTGTGGGTTTGAACATGTGAAAGCAGTGCGCCTGGCTGATGATGACCAAAGTCATTGCAACATCCCAGCGTCCATAAGGAGACATATTCTGAACATGTTTTTTTCAATCATTATTTTTGGGGGTTATCACCACAATGTGCAGCTTCACGGACAGCCAATCACGCATCTGAACCCTCACACTAGCAACCTTCTATCAAGTTGCTTCCGCAGGGTCCAATCTGCAGGTTCCATGTACAAAAAAATCCAAGCTTCAGTGCCATCTGCGCCTAAAAACCAAAGCAAGCTCGACGGGAATGCTTGCTTCGTGAAAAAAAACATATACAAGCCTGAAAACTCCGGAGCCTTAGATTTTTCGCAAGGATGACTTGTTCTCGACAACACAAAAGGGGATGCACCAAGAGAACACATGCAATCCAATGAAAAACACAACCGTATGTTTGGTCTCTGAGAAAGGACTGCCTTTCTATGCCCTTCTTTGCCTTTCCTTGCAAAAAGCTACGGATGCACCAGGGTTGCAATGAGCTGTGCATTGCTTCTAGCGTCCGACTGAACTCAACTCATCTCAAGACCATAGTACCATTAATAGTGGGTGTGCCTTCAAGCACTCACTACCCCCGCATACGCACTCTGACTCCTCCGTTCATTGTAGTGAACTTCCTTGAGTCCACATAGCTTTCGCTGGTTTCCTTCACTGGCACGGACGTGAGACCGGCTTCTTTGAATGCCCACAAACGTCGGTTGTCCTCCGTGTGCCACTTGCCCTTCATCTTGAAAACACGAATTGCTGGAATCTGCGACGGACTCAATGTGCCTGTCATCAACCTCTGCATAGTGTCCCGAACACTGCGGCCACACTGGAAACGGCTGGCTATACTGTCCTGGATGTAGAAAATATCCTGTGGGTTCATGTGACCAGGTGGTTTTTGTGCGTCAATGGGTTTCATAAACTGGAATGCAGGATTAATGCTATCCAGGATATTGACCTTGTCCAAGGAATCAACATCAGGAAAGTAGCCAGGTCTCTCTACCTCAATTGAAAGCATGGAATAAACAACTCGCCGTCCCCACTTTCCAAATTGTTGGGCTTCGAGCTCGGCATCGGTGGAAAGCAAAAGTTGATCCGGCGTCCCTCGTTCAAAGCAAAAGTTAATTTTTGCAGAGCACTGATTGAATAAGTAGAACTCCGGTTCAAAGGTCGACTTGCATCCATGACATCTGATCTCACCCCAGCACTGTTGCTCGTTGGGCCGGAAAGGGCTCCCATCGCCGAAGCCTACTTGGAATACAGTAAGGCCATGTTTTTGGGAAGGGCACAGCTTTCGGCCACAACGACCCATGTAGTTCACCCCTGGCGACACGCACGACCATGGTGGGGGATTTGGATCCGTTGTGAGCTCCCGCTTGCTCTTGGCACGCAAATCTGGAGCTGAAAAACACACCGGAGATCGGTTCATGGCGCGCAGCTTCAGGAGCAGGTTGAGGAAGAGAGCGAGATTGTCTTTCAACCAGACAAAGGAACGTACCGTTTCCAAAGTGACCCGGAACCCCTTCGTCCATTCTTGTGGGATTGATCTTCTTGCTTGAGGTTCGGCCTGGACATGTTGAGTGCGTGACCAGTTGTGGTGCTGCTACATTTGCAGCTTGAGCCAAGCGCCAAAGCAAAACGTTGCGTTGCTGTACATGAACATTGCTAGTCCCACGCGAGCGTGATGAGGAAGGATCTTGTCTTGTCTGGGTCTTTCTCAATAGATTGAATAGTAGAAGCGCTAACGTCCGCCGAGACATCTGAGGTGCTAACTGTACTGCCACATTGGGAGGCAATGAGTACCTGGAGGTGCTGTCACATATGTTGTGGTTGACGTCCAGTCAAAAGAGAGGCTGTCATTAAAGGCACCTTTTTTTCGCTGCCAATAGTTGTAATATTAGGCCTGCTGTTCATGCGGCATCAACAGCTACTTCCTCATCGTCCTCAATATGCCCGGCTGTGCCTGCGGAACCCCACTGTTTAAGTACATATCCGACCCACCACAATATCTTTCGCTTTTTGACCTCCAAGTGAGAACATCTTGAATCATCCAAATGACTCTGACCCGGTCTGACTGGTCGACACACTGGGCACTTCAAGCCCAAGGATGCCCAAAGCTCTACCACCTGACCAGTGCAACGAACCCGTCTTCGTCTATGACTGCATCCCGCTTCTCCGGACTAATTAATGTCTATATTACTATATAATATATATCGGGTTGGATCTGTTTGGCATCCAAGTAAACACCAAAGGTTCATCCACCCGCACACTAAAAAACCTGGATGTACCCATACAACTTTGAAGTTCTTGGAATAGATTGACCATGAATGATGCTCTTTGAAGGCAAGCTCTCTGAAACTCTCATTGGATACATCAGGAAACTCATTAGCTCCTGGTGCATCAACTGGATCGATCCTCTTGAAGAAACTCGAGGTGCACCCAATGGAGATACACTTGGACTTGTCCCAGCAGTGATCGCACCAGGCGCCCCCCTACAGGTCTCCAAAGGTACTCCCATGGAATCTGCATGACATGAGACTGTATGTGTGGACTACTTGTGGTCTGCAGCGCAGACTCCAAAAGAGTACAACTGCAAATGAGTTCTCCTATCACACAAACAAAAGAACTGCCGCTAAGTGAAATTGTTCACTCCCTACTTACTGATCTTACTGCCTCTTCTCCAACAAGTCCAAAGCAACACCGCCTGCAAAAAAAAAACTCCCACGATGAACTATCTCCATACATGACCTCTACACTCTACACTCTACCACCTGTCTCGTGGTAATTAATCATCTCGGACCAATTGACAGTGGCTGAGTAACTGGCCGAACAACTTCTGTCACCGTTTGTTTGCTCCGTCCAAAGGTCCAGACCATCCCTCAGCTCGCCACGCAGCACCGACCGCTGGGCGTCCCCGGCCCGTCCCTCGTAGCGATCCACGATGCGGTCCAGGTTGCCCAGCTTGTCTTGGAGGGTGGTTGCGAGTGGCTTCGTCTCTGGTGGGTTCCGTGAGATGAAAGGCAAACTGGGATATGGCAGAGGTCAAAGTCAATGGTCTATGATCTTAAAACAATATGTTTTATGGTATAGAAATAAAGCTGCTTAGGGTGGCAGTGCTCTTGCAAGTGTCAAGGCTCATAGTTTCACTATGTTTCACTTCTTTGAGAGAGAAGTGTCTGTCCAAAATTGGCAAAGCAAACTGACCACCCAGCGAGGAAGAAACGATGCTGCATGCACACCTTGGCAACCTGACAAGATAATGTACCAAAACACTTTGTATGAGGTTGCTGTACACTGTACATGTTTAGAGTATTGGTATAGTTGCTCATGTTGGGTACTTCATACCAAGTGCCCAACATGTTCAGTCACACACGACAAACGGCGGTGCCTATGACACACTTCAAGCATCTTCAAGTGCACATCATACACTCCCAAAAAACTAACATGGAGCTTGAGCAGGGCACCCTCAAAGACTGTTTTCCTCTAGCTGCATCAGTGGTTTTGAGATGTTTTGAGGGTCCATGTTTGTTCTTGTTATTTCATCGGGGCATATATTCCAACATTTTTTTCGACAGGGCGTTGGTGTCCTCGGCACCGGCAAAAAGAAACAACTTGCCAGGTCGGTGAGGTTGAGCGTTTTTTGTTTGAAGGCGTTGGTCGTCGCCCCATAAGCATTCTCCAAGAGAAGCAAAACAAACTACAACTGGTCAATTAATGTCAAAACTATGTTAAAACTGAAGAAAACAACAACAACAACAACAACAACAACAACAACAACAACAACAACAACA